CATGTTTTATATATACCTGCTTCATCCGCACGGTTCATGTTTCGGCAGATGCACTTACATTATACGATGGTTTATAGGTTTGCACAACCCTATCAAAGACAGCGGGTTAAACCTGTTATTGCTACACGCCCCTTCGCTTTGCTGTATGACAGTAAGCATCTACTTTTACTATGATCACACCTCAGGAAATCAACACAGATGAACAGCATGAAACAAACACTTTGTAATATACACTATACTTTGAAATTATAGCTCAAAGGTATACACCATCCCAACCGTGTGTCTGTAATTATGAGTAAAACTACATCAATATACAAATTATGATAAAGTAATCGGTAAAGGAGGATGGCGTATAAATAACTGAAACAAAATTTATTAGGGATTAACTCAAAGTTGATCTACCAAGGTAATTAATCCACTCACTGGATCTGATGTGGATTTCTAAGTTAGGCCGCGCCCAATTCCACGTTTGAACAGGAGCAAGTGAATTGGCGCGCGAGGGGATCATCGCGGATTGGTTATTTTATTAGCCCTGTCTACCCTTCCTTAAACCTCTCCGAGACAGTGTGTTGTGTTTTTACAGTGTGTGCTGATTGGAGTTTTATTGTACTGAAAAGGTTGTCTCTGGTGACTGCAAAAGGCTACTTGGCTCCACAAACTGCGTGTACTCGCCATCCGACTTTTAGGGGCTTGGCATGGGCTAATATTTGGAATGAACTACAAATAAAACAAAAATCTGTTTTTAGTGCTTGACTTTGTTTCATCTCCAAAAACAAAGGGGAAAAAACACAATAGGGATCCTTGCTGTTTGGGCCCCTTATAAATGGCTGTTGGTCTTAGTTATGGCTAGGTGGGGATGTTGAGAAAGTGACTATTATGTTATATTTAAAGGCGTTTATGTGTGTTATATAGGTTATTTTTTACTACTCATTGCAGATTTGTCATATTTGTAAATTGTGGGTTATAAGAACAAAGAACTCAATATCTACTTTGGAGTGTCTGAGTCCACAGTGTACGTATTTTTGCATGTAAGAATGGTTAAAAATTCACAAATATCAGTAAACTTGTGGCTTCACTCACAAATATACTACAGTTAAATGCCGATTAAAGCAAATGTTATATTCTCATTTATACATTTTCCCACTGTTTTTTCTTTTTCCCCAAATGTCTATAGGTGCGGATGTAACTGCCCCTGGGCTCTTTAGAATGGTTTTTAAAAAGAGCTTCCCCTCATAGCGACGTCTGACTCCATGGTTCTGTCCACTCTGTCTCCATTATATGCAGCAAGTCTACGGCCACAGTCATCCGTATTCGATGTTCAAATTACCGCATACTAGGGCTCTAGCGGAACTATCTGACAATCTGCACTAACACCGCAGTCCTCTTTCCCACCGTCTACGCATCTAACGATGGCAGGTATTTTGTTTGGCGAGTGATGGAACATCTATATGGCTAAACAATGCCTTTGGTCTATATATGAGGATTCAGAATAATTTGACGTATTTTAAGAGATTTCAAGTCGTCAACTTCAATAATAGTATAAACAGGTTTCAGTTGTACGATAAAGGTTTGGCTCGTTAATTAAACACATTTAAATATTTATTTTGTTCAATAAATTAAAAAATGCCGAATAATAATGTATAGATTTGACTAAAATGTTCACATCATTCAGTTACCGCAAAATGTCATTTCAGTACGACTAAGAAAGAAACATGGAAACACTTAATTAAATCACATCTACAGTCTGCGGGACGAGTCAGGATGTAAAGATTAATTGGGGTTTTGGTTTAATTTCCTGTTGCAACAAAAAAAGTCAGCTACATCTTCCCATACGTTAAATTACTGACGCTTTCAATAAATGTAATGACTACTAACCGCGTACACCCATAACATTAAGTGGTCAACAAAAAAACGGTGTTTTTTTTAAAGATTTATCTAGGTATTTGAAAGGCAACAACAAACAAGGAAGTAAGTGTTAAGGATTGGCTATGGACAGTAAAGTAAAAAAGATTGCGAGAGTTATTTTTAAAAGTGCGCCAAAGTTATCAGCAGTGTGAGCAAACTGAACATCAACAAGCAGGCGGCGTGCTTATGTTATGCTACACATCACTGTCATTCAGGTAAGGGTATCGAGATGAATCAGCCAGTAAGCGATGCAGGAAACCTATAACTTTTCACTGTGCTAAATACGCGTGCTGAAAAAGCTTCTCCTCGCGACCCCCTGTTATTTTTAATGATTTGCGCTGTAATTCTGAATAAATAAATATATTCACCCAGCCATCCACCCACCGATCCGTTTTTCATTTCTCTCGTCCAGCTGAGGGTCAGAGTGGGGAATCCTATGTACAAATAAACAATATCTGTCCATTTGCTCTTGATGATGGTTAAATGACACTGGGAATGTATTTCAGATCCTGAGCATTTACAACGCAAGAGGATGGACATACTTGTGTAGAGTCATATAAATGTTTGTTATAGCCTGAACAGTTAATAATCCACAAGCCCAAGTTCACTAATGAAGGGGCTATAATAGCTATGCTGGTGTCAAACCCCACTAGCAGCAGAATCGTATTTAATCATTTCTTCCTTCTATCCATTTGTAGTCACTCTGTCCTGTATGACAAAAAAGGCGGAAGCATGTAGCTAGAACCAAGCCACACCCCATCACATTTGACAAAAAGCAATATGGGTGAAGGAGAGAAAGGCACAAAGAGGGGAGAGAGAGGGAGAGAAAAGTGTGTGAGGCCCAGTCTCAGCAGAACACCGCATACCTATGCCACTCTTCATTAAGGATTGTTCCCCAAAGATGGTTACAGACATGAGATAATGAGGTCCTGAGATGACGCGGCCCTCCAAGTTTGGACCGGAGCTGTGTGCTGCCATTTCACCAAACAACACTGTACATCGGCACTACGCTACTCACATCTAATTTGTAGCTCACAAAAGCTGATCTATCCCAAATCCCCACTAACAAACAGAGGCCCTGAGACAAATCATATAATGTCCCGCTTTATTCATTTCTCAACTAATTAACTGGAATCCCACCTCACTCACAGGACAATGCAATCTATGCCATAGGTCACAGGCCACAGTTGGCTGCAAAAGATTTTTGTGAAGGGCTAGGCTATGGCTTTTCTGTGGGCTATGGATGTAATGAAAAGATTGCCCTAAAGTAGAGGTTATGAGCTTTTCACTGCTTTGGTTCCGAAAAGCAAAATGATTCAAAATAAGATTTTAATTGTAGTACTTGGTTGTAGTCACATGTGGAATTTTCAGGTATGATGAAATCAAGATGCCACATTCACTGCAACACATGTAAAATAAATGTGTGTAGCTTTGATGAAGTAATTCTCTGTCTTTTCCTATAGATGATATAAAAATGCCATTAATTAAAACAATTTAAGTGTATTTTAGCAAATTGCAAAAGTTAGGACTGAGGAACTGTTTCCTTAGGTACTGCGGTATGGGTATTGGTATTTACTTAAGGTAGAGCAACAGGTAATCCATCAAATCCTATGTAAAACACAATGTACACACAAAAATATTCATTAATGATTACCTTCATTAATATTGTTTTTCAAATTTTCCCAGATCAGAAAATCTATTGTTATACATTTGTATGAATGTTTGGGTGAAAGGAATGTACCATGATTTTATTTCCGTAATGACGTCGGTAAGGGTACTGGTAAATATGCGCTAAATGTATATGCACCTATTCTTTCTAGCAACAACATACATAATTACGATATAGATTAAATGCAAACAAGATAAATCTTTATCCTCCCAGTGTGAAATAAAATACGTTTAATCATGAAAGAAGCCATTTTTACATACCACGTCACTAAAAAATAGTATTGGCCATCTATTTACTTAGTTCCTAGGTTATAGGCTAGTCTATATCAAATAATGATTACGATAACAAGACATTTCTCCCGCCTAACACATGCTATACCTGATGAAAACACTGCAGGTCTTTTAATCTACCTGAAGAAATTGATAGTGATTTTAAATATTCGACAATATATATGCCTATACATACAATCTTTGCGTTCTTTAATAACAATCTAAAAATGCGTATAGTAAAAATCAGAATTGAAAGTTATTAGAATAAGTATACGTTCCCTGCAAAAATTATGTGTATGATCAGTCTGCAATAAGATATCCGTAGAATAATCACTTCAAGTATAAATAAATGTGATTGTATGAAATCCAGGCGAAATTGTATGTGTTGTGTGAGCATAGATATGACCTTGTATTTTAGTTAAATAGCCTTAGGCTACACTTTACATTGATTAATTTGAGTTACATAAAAATACAAAAGTTTTGATTTGTTCCAAGTTCCTAGTTTTACTGTATTCACGGATTATTTAAATTACGTATACTTTGACATTTTAGTAGCCTAGTCCTTGATCATGTAACATACATTAATATTTTCTTACACCCTTATTGCAGTGTACAAAATTTGTTCACATGTAAAACACATATTACGATAGTTAAGACGCAGCGTTAGATCACTTGCAATATGTTCAAAAAGGGAGTTGTAGTCCTTTTCCCATGCCCTTTCATTCTAGTAAGATCTATCAGACCCTCAGCAATAGCCCGACCAAGTTCAACTAACGTTCAAACGGTCCTCGTCATTACTTTAAAAACGACTTTATGCCTAACATCTGGAGGGAACTGGAATAAATCACAACACTTACCCCGCCATTTACGACTTATCTTATTTTCCCACCGCCTGTCCAGGTAAGTGTCGCGGCAGTTTACTGCTTATTATTATTTTTTGCATACCGTTTGTTTTTCTCTGTAAAATTCACAAGTATTTCAAACGCAACTGGGCAGTGCGAATGTGTGCACTACGTAATACATAGTATCGCACCGGTTTTCATGTCATGTCATGCAGTCGTGTTTGGACGGAACGCTTGTTTTTTGAGTAAATCTTGCTGCATCGTAATAGTTACGACGAAAGTAACACACATAATCATAAATATTACTACACCTACCAGCATTTTTAGTTCACGCAGCGTCACGTCGTTCTCGAAATAACAATAAGCTATAGTTATTTTTAAATGACAATGATACACAATAGCCTGTTTGTCACTGCAATAAGAAAATGCATTGATTCGAAATATTATCACAATGCATTATGGAAGCCACTTCAAGTCACAGTACAAACGCAAAGAGCCTCGGACTATTCTGTCTGGATAATTATTTTTGGTGGATAGACTTCATCGCGCGCGCGCACGCAAGCACACATACACACACACACACACACACACACCTTTTCATATTAAACATGCACGAATGAAATACAAATGTTAGCTGACAACCACAACTGAGTTTTTACTCATTTCTGGCTTATGAGGAAAAGACCTGAAATTAGGATAAACCCACAGTTTTTACTGAATTATTACCGCCCCCCCCCAAAAAAAAAGAAAAAAAAGAAAAGAAAATCGCAATTTAAAGGGGAAAAACCGCGGGTTATGGCTTCTTTCCAAGACACTCCTCATAGATCCAGGGCCACTTTAGGCAAGAGGAAAGAGAATATTGGCATTAAATTATACAGAAAGAGAGGATTAACCATGAGTGACAACCAAATTATAGACGGACAATTTTGCCTTGATTCCTAGATAAACAATAAACCGGTAGTAATTTAAAGGCAATCTTATATTTAATATTGTTTATGCGAAGATTTGTTTTACTTGCACCTTATTTATCACAGCTAACGAAAGCCCTGGCTTACATTCATTACTCTTACATATGTAAAATCATAAAACAAATACTATCAAATATTATTCTTACTGAATTATTAGGCATTATTTCTGCACAGTGTTTTACGTTTTAATGGAATTATATGACAGGTGCACATTTTTTTAAGTTGCTGATCCTATAGTGAAAAAAGTTCACATTGTCACTCTGTCCTACACAGTGTTAATTGACATGAAGGCTCTCATTGCCCCACACACTGGTTTCCATTACTTTCTGCTTGTTTCGCTGTGGTGACATTTGTAATCCGCGCAAATGTCTCACGATTGATAGACAGATTATAACGTCACGGTCCTGCAGCCGCTAAGGGCATGAGTGCATCGGTACTGAACATGGCTCGTGTTTAGCCATCAGGTCAGGAGACGGAAGTGCGGGGATCCCCCGCATTGGGCTGGAGCACTGCAGTGGCATTTAAAAATCTCAAATTCTGCCGACCGTCCTCTTCGGTATAACAGGAGTGCGATTCATAGTTCAGGTGATTTTTTGTTTTTCAAATGGTATCCATCTGCAAGTAATTCAGTTAGTTGGTAGTCAAAGATTAACGTTATTCTGCTGGACCAAATCAGTAACAGCAAGATCTGCGGAGAAACACTCCTAAAACTATATTGGATAAATTGGATACAATCAAACAACGGAACACTGACGTGCCTTTGGTGTGTTCATTTGTGAGAGGGCAGAAGAGCCAAGACTGCCTTTATTGTGTCTTATAAAAATACTTACCCCCAATCCCGGGTTAAAATGACTGCAACCAACATCAAACATTTAAAACTGTACTTCATACATGACCTGTTAATGGTTATTAGCAAGCTGGCATGAATTTGAAAATGAGGAGCCTGATTATAAAGGCAAACTTGTGGTTGCAGAAATTTAAATGGATGCCTTTCATCTTATGACCTGCCCCCCAAAACCATCCTGCTGTTCCTCAGCAATTGGAGACCAGATCTTGCCTTGTACTGTGACTGTCTTGGTCATATCCATAAGGTTATGCAAAGATTATAACATTGTTGAATTTACTTCTGCACAGTCCTAAATGACAGTGGTGACAATCGTTGTTCAGTGGGAGGCAGTTGAGCTCATTTTAGGTAATTGTTGTGTAGTGAAATGAAAACAATTTTTACTTTCCGGGGAAAAAGGGTTTTACTGAGCACAAACGTCAAGAACACACAGTACCAAAGGAACTGGGAAAAAATGAACAAGAAGGTTCACTGCCCTACTCCACAGGTTCCTTACAGAACTGTAGAAATTAAAAGGTAACGTGCGTCTTGTGATCAGCGTGCACATTATAAAATGGTACAAATCCTGAAAAAGTGTCTTTTGTACCTGTGCTGAGCTACATAAAATGTGTTGGCTTGGCTTTTTTGCTTCTATATTTATATATTTTTTTTAATATTTAGACATTCATGTTCTGGTTGTGTTTTTCATGTTTCATATAGATAAGTTATCCGATGAATAAGCCGACTTATCATTTAAAAGGAAAAGTGTGAAATGGCCCCCTTTCCCCCTGACAGGGTCTAGCCACATTTCTTGTTCTTTTACCTTAGGCTTTATAAAGATTAGCTTCCTTCCACCCACTGTCCATCTGTTTATTCGCCTGTTTTGGGCAATAAGTAATTTACCAGTTAGATTTATAACGTCATGGCTGCCAGTTCCAACTAGAATTTCATCCAGACCGCTGCTACATGGGGGACTTTTTACCTCTCTATATCCTCCAATCATTCCTCTCCCTCCTCTGGTCCGCCTGGCTATCAGTTGGCCGACAGTTGAATCTTCGGTTATGGCATACCACGCAGCTGTCAGCATCAAGTACCATTTCGTCTTTGGGAGTTCAAGAACTGTAAAATCTGCTGAGTTCGCTGTGTTCCTCCACGCCTAGACCTGACTGTCATGTGTCCATGAGCCCGGAAGTGTGGACTTTCTTCTCTGTGATGGAATGATCTTCCCCTCAACCTCAGGACAACAGGACCCTTCTGATCTTCAATGAAAGAACTTTAATTCCCCTTGATCATCCAGAAAATAATGAAATGCATCCTGAACAATTTTATTGTGCGGATCATTGGGAATCTTGTTGACTGAAGTCAATTTATGGGCAGACCATCTGTGTTTGTTCATTTGTAAAATTATATATATATGTATATTCATTCCATGTTACATAATAATTTAAATGAATTACTTTAATCTTGTTTGTGAGGTATGTCAGCTGTCATGAATGTTCTTCATTGTATTAGTAAGTTGACAATATCTAATATATGCTAGGTTACCTATACCGTGTATGGGAGAACCATACTATAAAGTATTACTTTATTCTTTACATGAAAAGAGACATAAAATACTGGTTACAAGCTTATGTTTATGATATCAAACTTTTTTATTGACTACTATGAAAATACAAGAAAAACAAAAAGCAAAGAGCACATAATGTGAACGTTACCCCACTGCCCTACATCACTAAATGAGTCTGTATGATATATGTAGAAAAGTACAGGTCGTGAGAGTACAGATCACCTTGCAGTTTGACCAAGATCTTCAACAGTGGAATTCATTCTTCCCCCCACAACTGTTTACATGTGGCAAAGCGAGTCTAGAGAGCTGCAATACAATCACATTCTCACATTGCCTCTGGTCTCAGCAGAGACAAACGGTAATGCAATATTTTTCCTTAGCTCCTTTTGGAGCAGGTTTTGACAAATAAATCAATTCCATTACACTGCTAGAAACACTGCAGATAGCACTGGAAAAAATGTGCCGTTTGTTCGCTCAGCTGTTTCCTATTGGATCTCTATGCTCTTTGCATCACCCCCGCCCACCAAAAATGAATACTTATTGCAGATGACAAAGTCAAGATCGCACTTTTTGCCATGCTGTTGTATAGGTGGCTCACTGCTGAAGTGTTCACTTAGCAGCTAGCTTAAAATTGTGCAAAAAGAGAGAGCAACCTTTAATTGTAGGACTGGGATGAATAACATTTTTAGAAAAACCTAATTAGTGGTTGAAATCGTAAAAATAATATAAAACAATACACTCATTATTCAAAGCTGAAATCTTTATTCACAGATTGAATTCTGGACCTTGGAGGCACGTTCATTGTCATGTAGGCAAACGCCACTTTTGATGTTAAGGACTCACTCTCTATAAGAGGAAAAGAGAAAAAATAATTACTAATTGATACAAAGAAACCACATCTGTTACATATTTGCATTTCTGTTCAGTCTACTCGCAAGTAAAGATACTAAAATGCTCCACTGTTTGAATATGTTGTCCACCTGTAAGTGTGAATCCACACCGCAATTTACTTCATGTGCCTTGATGATCCCAGTTTTGTTTAGTTCATTACTGTTGGATATTAAACATTAAAATAAAAACATGCTAGTAATGTCACTTACGGTTAAATATTGAAAGCCCATGCTGACATTTTCCGTGCAGCATGAAAATACCATGTCTATGCTCACAATCCTCAGTCAGAGTAAAGAAAAAATTACCTAATCAATTATTCAGACTAATCTGCCAAATGACAAGAAAATGTATGTTAGAGGAAAACTTCTCTGGTTTTGAGCTTCTAATGTTGCAGTTTGAAGTTTTGTACACATGGAGGTGGAGGGAAGGACAGAACAATGTTTCTTACACCGAGGATTACAAAAAACATCCACCACAGAAAATATAATGGGATTCACCACATTCGGTAGTAGTTCCGTGTACTAGCAGATAAAGTAGTACTTCTATTGAATTGCATGCCTGTAAAGTTACACGTCTTTCTTTTTGCCAAATATTACCACTGCATTTCAGAGTAAACAAGTCCACCCAGACTTTTCAGTCTTTTGGCAGTTTTCTGTGGACAGTAACTCCTAGCCCTGATACAATGGCTGTTGGATAAGGAAGGGAAAAGGAGTGCAAGCAAAGGATGCACACGAGCGGCTGAAGCACCAAAACTTTTGGCGACTACAGAATTTCCATTATAATTAACTGAGCCTCCAAAGCTGGAGTCCACAGGGCTCAAGTTTTTGTCTGATAGTCTGGTAATCCGGAACCCTAGAATCCTTCTAACAAGGTCTAATACAAAAGTAAATCACTTTAGCAAAAACAATCATATAATCTACATTGTTATTTCATTTTATTGCATAAAACATTAACTTTGCAAACAAAACTCATTTACAACTGCGGCTGGTTTTCCATTTCCAGAATTCAGATTTTAGATTTTCACCAGAACCCTGGGAAAAGATGTGAGCCCAATAAAGGGCACGTCCAGATCAGTAATGCTCATGTTCATAGACAAATGATAGATATGATGTGTTTATCATGCCTTTCAGTGAACTGATGCCAGGCTGACTCTAAAACAAACTGCTCTAGTGACTAGCTGCACAAGGGCCAGATGTGTCTGTTGGTTACCAACAAAAACTTTCAGGTGAACATAATGGTCCAC